TTTTACTAAAATAGGGTGACCATACGTGCCATTTTCCCAGGACACGCGTCCTGGGAAAATGGCACGTATGGTCACCCTATTTTGGCCAGGATTTGTTTTGGCTTTGTTTTCCTGAAGGTTCCTTTGTTTTGCTTGCTGAAGGTAATGATCGAAAAGTAGTTTGACCAATAACATGCAGATAGATGAATTTACACCAAAACTGTTTGAACATCAACAGAAAATGATACGGGAAGCATGAGCCGGTTTATTGCACATGATAAAATGGTTGTGTTTTATTATTTGCATCTATCAGCGTTTTTCCCTGCTGTCCGTAATTAGACCAGTTGAGAATCACTGCAGTCAAACACACTGTTCAGTTACAAGTTTTGTTTTAAATTTCTACTTATATAGTTGAATAATATCTGTGCAGGTTGTACGTTTTAACCTTCCAGTTGTGTTTGTTCCAGCGCTCTGTGGGACGTGGAGACAGGTCAGCAGACCACGCTGTTCTCAGGTCACAGTGGAGATGTGATGAGTCTGTCATTGGCTCCAGACTCATGGACCTTCATCTCTGGGGCCTGTGATGCCTCAATTAAGCTCTGGGACATCAGAGACAGCATGTGCAGACAGACATTCACCGGGCACGAGTCAGACATCAACGCTGTCTGTGTGAGTAAATGCACTGCTTAAACAAAAACACATCACCTTTCCTTTTGACTTATTTTCTCCTTCATCTCTCAGTTCTTCCCCAGCGGCAGTGCGTTTGCGACTGGTTCTGATGACGCCACTTGCAGGCTGTTTGACCTGCGTGCGGATCAGGAGCTGTGTTTATACTCTCATGATAATATCATCTGTGGCATCACCTCTGTGGCCTTCTCCCGCTCTGGCCGTCTGCTGCTCGCCGGCTACGATGACTTTAACTGCAACATCTGGGACGCCATGAAGGGAGACCGAGCAGGTGAACATACTGGCGTTATTATTTTGCGGCAGTACAGTAACCACAGTGGTTTATTTGTGAATTGTGAGGTCCCTGAACAATAGTGAGATCTATAGGGTTTAGAGGCAGAAGATTTAACAGGTTTGTAAAAAAAAAAAAAAAAAGGTAAAATACAGTATTTAGCACTAAATTCTTGCATTAGACTAAAATATAAATTTTTGCCGTACTAAAATCAACAGAGCTGCCTATAGTGCAAGATAGGTTTGTTGCATTGCTACACTTGCTTATAGTGGATACTTTGTACATATTTTATATTTACAGTATTAAAAATACAATACTCAAATGGCACATTAATTAAAAAATTTAATATGCTCTTTATTTTAATATGCTCTTTATATTTTTATCATTAGTTTACTTGATTTTTAGTAAGATTAAAAAAAAAAAAATTATTACTTTTATTCAGCAAGGATGCATGAAATTAATCAACAGTGATGGTATAATTATGATGTTACTAAAAGATGTCGATTTTAAAAAATTATCTTCAAATAAATTTCTATTCATCAAAGAATCCTGAAAAACTAGCACAAAATATTTTCCCACAAAAATATTAAGCAGCACAACTCTTTTGATAGCAAGTGCTCAAATTCAGCATATTAGAATGATTTCAGAAGTAACATGTGACACTGAAGACTGCAGTAATTCAGCTTTGCTATCACAGGAATAAATGACATTTTAAAAGATATTAAACCGTTAGATAAAACAGTTCTTTTAAATTGCAACATTTCTCAATATTATGTTTTTTGAAGTCTTTTTGATGAAATAAATGCAGCCTCGGTGAGCATAAGAGACTTCTTTCAAAAAAATTTTTTTTTTTTTTTTTAAATCTTACCGATTGGTAGTATATGTAAAGGTCATGGTGCATGAGGTGGGAAATCTATTAAAGTATGAGTTTTGTACTGACCCAATATAAACCAAATGTTAACCCTTCACACTCATCTCTTACAGGAGTGCTGGCTGGCCATGACAATCGTGTGAGCTGTCTTGGGGTCACAGATGATGGCATGGCTGTGTGTACAGGTTCCTGGGACAGCTTCCTGAAGATCTGGAACTGACCACACACAGCTCCCATATTGTACACATTATTCACTCATCATACACAATATATGTACTTTACTGTACATATGATGTACACTTGCCTACACAGACACACATGCCTAACAAAACCTGTACATAATATATATAATTAGTTATATGTTTACACCAAATCTTTTCAGTGCCACATCATTCTATACACAGTCACACTATAGGTAGGTTTGGACCACAAGTTTGAAATAGGAATGTTTACACACACACACACTTTTTTTCCCTTACTTAAGGTTTGCTGGAACTACATGGTACCTTCACTAAGAGACACAAGTACATTTGGAGGAATGTGCGTTGAGTGAGTTATCTAATTTGAGCGTACAATCCAAAACATTTATTTGACGCTTCATATTTAGTCTGAGCTCAAAGTGGTGGATGTTGATCCATTGAAGAGCATTCTTTTTTTTATTTTGACTTCCATTCTGTCTTCTATACTCAAAGTCTAAAGTACTGATGTTTCCATGAGCATGTAGAGTTGAAAAGATGAAGGAGATGTACCCAACCCATCTGTAGTTGATACAGATCACACTTTATGTAGCCCATGTTTTTATAGATGCGTATGCCGGCATATTCCAGTATATAAGTAATTAAATGACATTTTTGTCTTTCATTTTTGTTTAGAATTTACATTTTTTAAAAAGCTTTTATTCATGTTTTCCTGTGTGCCGCACCCTAAGGAGAATAAAGAAAACTGAAAATAAATAAATACAAATCTGTGCCACTAAATGTGTGATCACAGGCTGCTCACAAAAATGTTTAAATACTAGTTATTTGAAATTACTCAATTCATAAAAGGGGTTTTCAACTGGTTTCATGTAAGGACCCAGACTTCACACTGGACAAGCAAAAAGATTAATCTGACAGTGTTATAAAAGCATAAACACCAACTGAAGTGTGATACTGCACACTTGCATGTGATAAATTTGGGCCAAAATATGGAAAGTTTTTCACGTTACCGTTATCAAAATTTATTTTCTAATATCTTCTACAACCCAATCAGAAACTTGTTGAGAACCACTTGTTTGTTTGACTTGGATCCGGTCTCAGTCACAGGAAACAGAATGCATTTACAGTGTGTTTATGGTAAAACAATTAATTGACTCATCTGAGATTTACATTATTTAATAATTATCTAACATGCCATAAAAGTAAATGAGCTAATAAGATGATTCAAACAAGTGAATGTAAATACGTTGTTTAAAAACTAATAAAATCTAATAAAATGAGCTTGAAGGAATAAAAAGAGTTACACCATTTTAACAGAGATCAAGTTATTTTTAAACAGTGTTATAAAAGCATAAACACCAACTGAAGTGTGATACTGCACACTTGCATGTGATAAATTTGGGCCAAAATATGGAAAGTTTTTCACGTTACCGTTATCAAAATTTATTTTCTAATATCTTCTACAACCCAATCAGAAACTTGAGAACCACTTGTTTGTTTGACTTGGATCCGGTCTCAGTCACAGGAAACAGAATGCATTTATAGTGTGTTTATGGTAAAACAATTAATTGACTCATCTGAGATTTACATTATTTAATAATTATCTAACATGCCATAAAAGTAAATGAGCTAATAAGATGATTCAAACAAGTGAATGTAAATACGTTGTTTAAAAACTAATAAAATCTAATAAAATGAGCTTGAAGGAATAAAAAGAGTTACACCATTTTAACAGAGATCAAGTTATTTTTAATTTTCAAATAATGCTGTATTGAGACATTACAGACTTGTGAATGCATTCAATCTTTAAGACTTAAAATCATCTGAAGCACTCCCTCTCCTAAACAGAAACACTAAAAATATGTCCGAAAAACATCTACTATTTTTTTCCGAAACATAAAAACGTTTAAAAAGTAAATGAAAAGAATGATAATCAACCCATCACAGAGGATCAACTTTATCAAGTCCTCCAAAAACAACCTTTAACCTCTCCTGGCTACTGCTATGAGTTTGAACCAAAAGCACAACGTAAAAGAACTACAAACCATTCTTTGGAGTAGGAAATATTTTACAAAAATCAGCTAAGGGATTAACTTTGTATTACTAGAGAACGACGAGAGAAATGCCACTTGTTAGCATAGTGCTAATAGCATGTAGAGTAGATAAATACCTCAAACACCTTAAAACGAAAACCAGACAGCTCTGCATCTCTCGAAGACCGCTACACACGTGACCTAGTCTAGCTTTTTAAAGACCGACTGGTTTACAATTATGCTCTCGTTGGATATAAAAGCATTTAATGATAAACATTTCTTCAAATGTGGGGGATGGAGTGTAAAATATCATCTTTACATGTGCACCTAAACCATGGATTCTGTAAAACTCTTACAAGCCTTCAATCCAACAGATCAGTTTAATAGACCAGAATAAAACAAACCAATTACATTCAATAATGTCCACAGTAAAGTCAACAACGCATGTACCTTCAGAACAACCCCTGACACACTGGATCAGATATCAATACGAGCTTTTACACGAGTTCAGGACTGTGGTCAGCTGCCGTAGAAAGACTACAACGTTCAATTGGTCGTCAGCGGCATTCACAAACATGACTGGAGTCGCATGTGTGGCTTGAGTCCAGTGATGATGTGTGTACAGTATGTTTGACCACACTGGCCCTCAATCGCTGTCGACTGGTCTTGTCTTTTCTCCCCCCGCTCTCTTTCCTCTGAGGGAATAATGAACAGATTAGAAATAGCTCTCCTATTCACACATGCAGAGTCACACACCCACATGCTCTCTTTTATAACACTTGCTGGGAAAAAGAGAGGAGAGAGACGAGTCTAACTGAACGCACAGCAGTATGTACGGGGAGAAGCTTTGTGCTCGAGTGATTATTCTTCAGCCAGAAAAATGCTATATAACAATGCATTCATTTATTCAGTCCTATTGATAAGGTTACGTTCATTAATTATTTTTATAGATTCACATCTAGGTAAAAAAAGGTTAAGAAGAATTCAGGGATTTTGTATATATATATATATATTTTTTTTTTCCTCCATTCATTTCCATCATCATGACAGGCAATGGTAATCTTAATATAAACTCTTTATCTAATTTATAAAGCATATTTCCTCTCAGTTTAAATTTGTTACTCGTTATATCATAATTTTGCTATAAAAACATAAATTCTGTCAATCCAGTAGCGTGAACGCTGTTATACACATTTACTATTAAGCATAAAGGCAAAATCTCACTAAATTCCAAGAGTTCTTGGGAATGCTGGGGACTGTTATATCACACGCATGCGAGCAGCTCTTCACCATGACAACTCGAACCTTTTGTGGACCTCCGGCATGAAAACCAGAGGCTTTCCCTGTTTGGCAAAACGATATGCGAGCTACAAGCATCACCATCGCGCACTCCAGAACAAAGAGCTCGTCTTGTCATGTAACTGAAGGGCGTTTGGACTGTAATATGGTATTAAATAAACATCTGAGGAACGCGCTGCCTTCAAACCGGAGGAATTAACTCTTTATGGCATGGCTTTTGTGCTAAAACAGAGTGAGAGGAGCCTGTCTTGGTGCTCTGGCTATTGTCAATTTAAGTGCACTTTGTTGGCACAAGACCCCTAACTGCGCACTGGACTTTTCTCATCCCTGAACTTCAGTTCTTATTAAAACAATCACATGCTCAACGCTCTCCCACACACACACACATGCACACAATCAAGCAAATACACCCAACCCCAATCCAAGGCACTGTTATTTCAGTAAACATGGCAGTTTGATTTACTAAGCAAGAAAATGCTTACGTTCTACAGCAAGAGAGAGAAAGACAGTAAGGATGAGGGGCACAAACGAAGTAACTCTCAGAAAGTGCGAATCTGTTATAATGGCACATTAGCATTTAATTTTGCTCACTTACAGATGATGCGAATTCAAACTATAAGCCCCCATCTCTCTCTGCAATGCAACAATTTATAATTATTCATGTGAAGTGTTGCGCCGCCATATTTTAATAATGACTTGCTAAATGTGTCATCGGTGTTTAGTGCTCGTCTAGACTGTGACAGCAGACAATATGTCCGGTGGGAGGGGCTATTAGGTAACAGATGATGATTGTACCATCACAAGCTACTGAACAAATCAGAGCTAATCATTTAGTGTTAACTAGGAAAATATTTAGGAGGGACAAAGTGCATCAAATGTACTGTGATTAGTGTATATGTTTTTTCGTAAAAAGGCAGCACTTTATAAGTGATATAATGGTATAAGACCATCTTCATCAAATAGGGAAAGAGAAAAGACTAGATTGTGAAGGTATTCTTTTTAGGTGAATACTGCTGTAAAAGTAGATTATCTGCATGGAGTGAAAAGCTTGAGAAAAATCTCTGGTCTAGTATTGCAGAGCTGGAGACAGTAACACCAGGCACAAACCAGTCAATAATCCTTAAACTATTGCTTTATACTGATCCTACTGTATGTTACTGATTAATATTTCCCACTGATACTCACACACACACACACACGCATGCACGCAGCTCGTTTGCACACTGTCAGATAAACAAAAGAATATTCTTGCTCCAATCCACCCAAGTCTTCATCTAAAACATGACGTTTGTGTTGCTAAAAAATGGTGGGGTCCAAATCTCAAAGAAAAAAAGTCTGATCAAATGCACACATCCCTGATGAACTACAAGCCTGCCTAAAAAAACTACACCTTCCATAAGCAATCAAGCACTTTTGACAGCACAAACACAAGACTCAATTGTTTTACGCAGTCGTGTAGTGATTGAACGCATCAAAAATCATATGCTTACTGAATACAAATAAGATCTAAATACGATCACGGCTGCTATGTACAATTTACATTGTGACAACAGAACTATACGTTTGTGCTGCCAAACGTTTTCAGTCATATCCGGAGTAACTTACTGTATCTTCCTGTCTAAAATCAGAACAACCCAAAAGAAACTCTCTCGTAAAACTTCGAACAAGAACGAGCACACAGCACGTATTGCAATAGAACAGCTATAAAACAGCAGATAATAAAAGTAGGAGTAATACCAAATACGTTTACGTACAGAGAATATCAAACTGTAGTAGATATGATGATACTTCCCACGTAGAATGAAAAAAAGTGCTTTGAAAAGCCAAACCAGAGACTGTTGCTCTATTGTGGGTGACTAGTGGAAAAGCAAAATGCTGGATTCTGCTCCGTAAGCAGCCACCACCGTTTCCATCGAACAAACAGTTTGGTGACACAGGCGTCAGATTATTGTTTATACATCAAGAAAGCGAAAAACCTTCCCTTGCTCGGAAGGGAAGCCGTCTCAGAATATGTTAAAACTCATATTTTTAAATCAATTTCTAAACTTCTACTTGTCGAAAGAAAACATTATATCACTTTTATATGAAACTCTGAATGCAACCAAGAACAAACGACTACTACACTATACAGTTGAAATGGAAAATTACAGATGTTGCAGTACCACCTCACACCACTGCAGTTTCAAGGTGTTTCTGCTACTCAAAGTAGCTTATAAAGTCTCTCAAACACACGCACGCCACTGCTGCGTCACAAGACGCACGACAGTTGAACGATTCTCGTAGTTTACACGCATTTCTAGTAGAATAATGTACAATTAGTCTTGTTG